ACTATCAGTGATCAGAAGGTTGTCTCACCAGATACTGAGCTATGAATAAGTGAGACTGGAATGAAAACCATCTTGGCTACCTGGCATCGCGGTGGCTGGCTTTTCTGAGAAGGGAAATTGACTTAGGCTTACTGTGAGTCTCTTCCACTGGAAGAGTGAATGTAGGATAAATAGCCCCTATTTTCCAAGGAAAGTAAGTTAACTAGAAGCTTTGTGTTTCAATTTAAAAGATTTGCATCCTAAAAGGTGGCTATAAATAGGAACTGTAACATTTGGAGTTCGTGCCTAGGAGGCCCCTCCCCCATTACATAACAATTACAGAACTGTAAATGTAGTGCCCCTTTCCATTTGGAATAGGACACACTTTAACCACTAGTGAAGCATTGAGTTGAGTGGTCCCTCAAGAAGGTATGTCCACAGCCTAATCTCAGAAACCTGTCAATGTGACCTTATTGAGAAAAGTGTCTTTGACGATAGAATTAAAGAGCTTGAGATTAGATCCCCCAATTTCACAAGTGAGCCCTGAATCCAATGGCAAGTAACCTAATGAAAGGCAGAAGAAAATAAGACACATATAGAGAGAAGGTCATGAAAAGGGAGGCACTGATAGACTGATGCAGCCCCCAGCCAAGGAATGCCTAGAGCTGCCACAAGCTGAAAGAGGCGAGGAAGGTTCTCCCCTGGAGCCTTGGGAGAGAGAGTGCAACCTTGCTTATACCTTGATTTTAGTCTTCTGGCCTCCAAAACTGTGAGAGTACATCTCTGTTATCACCAGTTTGTGTTAACTTGTTATGGCAGCCAGAGGAAAATAATACAACGGACTTTATGAAGGTTCTGAGTCCGTTGCCAGGGATGTCACATCATCCCGGAAGCTTTCCCTGACGCTCTCTCTCCCAGACACCATCTGGAATTGAGTACTGCTTCCACATCGTGTCCCACAGCATCCGGCTCATGACTCTGCTGAACATCATCTGATGCTCCCTTAACACCCTGCTGCCCTGTCCACTCCCTCTCCTAGTCCACACAGTAGCTCAGGACAGCAATCATGTCACACTCTTCCATGTACCAATCTAGTACAGTCTCTGAAGCTCAGTAGACACTCGAACAAAGTTGTAAATATTATAACCCACAGGAATGTTTTTAAGGCCATCAGTACTTTCACACACAGTACTGGAAATTCCATGGTACTCAGGGAGAATGAAATTGTTCGTTTGCCTGGGGCACGGTCAACGGCACTGCTGTGTGCCTCACCAGGCTGCTGCAGTGGCTGCTAAGTGAATATTGCCCCTTCTCTGGAGAATCAGCCTCTGCTCCCACGGCCCCCGGCCACAAGGCGGGAGATCTCTGAGGTATAACTTACACTCCAGAGCCTCCTTATTTAGACTTGACCTGGGTTCTCATCCTTGTTAATTCCTGGAAATCATAGGGAAGGGAACTTCCCTCTAATTCTTCTGTTACTCCCTCACGAGATTTTTCCTGAAGAGCATTTCTTCAGTAAATCACAAACAGTGAAATTCTGTCTCACACCCTGTTCCAGAGAACCTGACCTACAATAAGTATTTCTTACTGAAGATAAAGAATTTTAAAAAGTGTCTTTAGAAATTGGAGCATCAGTATGCTGTGAGATGTATCATGGGCAGAATGGCAGTATCACAGTCTTTCCTACTCCTCCTACTAAGTTGGATTGAACAAACTCCAAGAGAGAACCAAATTGAATGAAAATCTGTCTGGTAGGAAGGCATTTTATAACACAGCTCCTTTATAAAGTGTCACTTCAGGCGCATAATGCAAAAATCTCCTCAAAGTGTTCCCTTCAATGTATGGGGACAGCCTGAGGTAAGGCTCCAATTTGCAAGCTCTATCAGTGTAAAGATTTTTTTTCTCTGCTTTATTCACTGATATATCACAAGTATCTAGAGCCGTACTTGGCACTTTATAGGCATTCAATAATTTACTATTCAATGTATGAATAGGATCAAGTTCCCTGGACCCAGCGGTGCACAGGCAGACTCATATCAATAGGGGGCAGAGGAGAGCCGCTTCACAGGTCAAATAAGAGCTGGCCTGGCTAAAGCAATTCCAGGAGATTGGCCTGATCAGAAACTAAGCAATGGATATCACTAGTGAAATAAAAACTGGAGAAGAGGGAGAATATGAGCATCAGTCAAGGACTAACCAAGTCAGGAATTCGGGCCAAGTGATGGGGCAGCATCTTCTGAACCAATTGAGAGAACCAGGAAATGAATTAAGCCAATGTTGTCTCTGGTACGGGTTATTAAATGGCCATATCCTGTGATTTTAATATGATATCCATAAAACTGAGATGATGCAAGAATCTATCCATTTATTTTTTAAAAACTATCCTCCCTAAACTTCTTTTGTCTTAAATTTCGGGTCAATTTCTGAAGTCACAGATGACTTTAAAGCAAAATGATGTGGAAATTTGGCACCCTGTGATTCGAAGTCACAGTTGTCTCGCTTGCCCCCTCTCCACAATACATATCCCCTGATGCCTGAAATTCCCTCGTTTGCAAGTCACTCCTTGAGGTTAAGTATTATTCCCTTCTAGCAGTTCTCTTCTAACATGAATATATATATATTCCGAACCTAATGCTCATGGCTGTTAGTTTAGTGACAAACATTGAGATGATGGACCCTGTTGAACTATTAAGGACAAAACAAAGGATAATCTTTACCTTAAAGAAGCCTAAGGGCTAATATATTAGCATCCAGGCTGGAGGAAAGAGCCCACTGGTCATGTAGCAGAGACAGAGTAGAGAGGGGGAGCTCAACAAGTTTTGTTCACTTTGCAGTTTTGCCTATGACCTGTTCCAACTAAAAGTAGAGAGGCAAGGCTGGACACCCAGTGAATAAAAAAGTCTGTCTGCTCCCGCTCTGTCAGTTTTAAATACTGGTAAAGGCGTGCAAATGATTACACCAAGGAGGTAAAAGCTCTCTCTTTCTGCTTCAATGTCTGGAAGACCCCCTGAAGCGAGGCTAAAGAGCTACCTTCAGGGAGGTCTTGCAGAGCGATAGAGCACACAATGCAGAATTGACAGGGGCTTTAAAGCCTTGCTCAGTCCTTTACCTTTGCGAATCATTATTTTTTGCATTGATTTATCTTTTTACCTTTACCATGTAATAAATAATGAATCACTGCTTTATTTTTCGTAAAAGAAAGATATGTCTCACCGACTTTTCATACTGATTTGCTATAATCAACTTTCCGTCCTGTTGTTCTTAGAAATGTGCACACAGGGTAGAATCCCTACATTGAACAACTAACTTGCTTAGACCAAAAGTAACTTCTCTATCCCAACCAACTTGAAGAAAAAGAGGCAGATAGTGGTTAACAAGGCTTCCTTTGTACACAACAATCTGTAAAATCCATTAGCAGAGTTTTCCAGCTAAGGCATAATACAGGAACAGTTGTTTTTGTCTGTTTTATTTCTATTTTATGCAACAGGGATTTTTATGTAGTTCCTTTAATAAAAAGATGTTGAAAATACCATACAATTTTTAATTAATTTGGTTTCAGTTAAGCCTTATTACTTATTACTTACATATTAAATACCTATGAAAATAACATTTTATACAAAGTTCTACCACAAACCAGTACAAAAAGCCAGGAAAAGAGCTCCATCATCAGTGTATCCTGTTTTAAATCATTTTTCCCTCAAAAATCTTCTATTTTGTTAAGAAAAAGTGAAGAGCTATAGAAATGAACATATATATATATATGTAATGAACTCAAATGTTGAAACTTGGACCCACCCAGGCCTTTGGGAACCGAGCTTCCTAATCCACTGTCCAGCAATTGTTCATTATAATAACCATATGCAATTCCATCACTGCTGCCTTAGCTATTCCTCTGGGTTCCCTATAATAGTATTAGTCCCCCACTGTCAAAGTTTATACTAGGGATTTGGGTTAAGTCTTTGAAAAGCAGTATTACAATGTTTAATTATTTATTGTTTTTCAATCAGACTTCTTTGCTCTAGCCAACAAAAAGTGCTGTCAACAAAAAGGTATTCTGTTTAGAAATGATTCCTGCCTTCTAATATTGGAATTTGGCATCTAAAATGAATACACTAACAGATAGTCATAGAGTTACGGGATTTTGAAGTTGAATGGGACTTTAGGGACTTCTATCGCAGGAAGGGATCTCAACATGTTAAGTGATCTTCCCAGTGACAGTCATCTAGCTGATTAAAGAATTGAAATTAAAATATTTTTATGCTATCTCATGCCCAATTCAGATTTCCTTCTAATTCAACATCTACTTTCAAAAAAGTGTAATTTGAAGAGTTAATGAAATGTTTGTTTTTTCCATCAACAATTAGGAACTCATTCAACTACTGAAGATGTGGCTTTTTTTTAACTTAAGAGCAAAACTGAAAAGAAAACAATATTGCAAATTGAGATATTTAAAAGCCCAAAATTTTGCTTGTAGTTGTTGGCATGACTCACCTGCTGTCAACTGCAAATGTTAGTGAATAGGTATATGCAATAAGCCCACTGAAGTTGTATCCTTGAAGCAGCTTTGAAGTAGATAGTAGATTGTTTCCAGAATCTTCTATAGTATCTAATTTGTATTTAAAGTATTAAGTGTATTCTCTTAGTTTTACTGTTAAACCATGAGGTGATGATAACAGTAACTGAGAAATTTACTTAGTAGAAACTTGGTGCTTATTTTTCAGCACCTATTTCATAAAACCAAGACTTTCTCAGTTTTCTCAAAAACATTATATAATTAAGCAACTCACAATGATGCTAATACAATTAAGTCAGCCCATTTTATTAAGTTAAATGAGTTAGAAAATAAATCCCTCTAGGATGGGAAAGGGCATGGCAATAATAAAATGCAGGCAAATCAGTCTTTGGTTTCCTTCTAACTAAAAATGCACGGTAGGCAGTTGGGTACAGAGGACCGAAGGACAGAGAAAAGATCTGGGATGGTGACAGAAAACTGAATGTCTCAGCCCATTGTTGGGACTTACCCAGAATCCTTTCATCTTATGGCTCAGTCATTCCCTCTGCTCATCCACTGGTGCTGCAATAACAGAGTATCTGAGAAATAAACAAGAGAAAGTATGTCTTTTAGTTCTGGAGGCTCAAAAGTCCAGTATCAAGATGCTGGCAGGTTTGGTGTCTGGTAAGGGTCAATTCTCTGCTTCCAAGATTATGCCTTGAACACTGCACATTCCAGAGGAAAGGACTGTTGTTTCTTATGCTGCAGAAGAGTGAAGGAAAGCAAATCCTTTTTTGCAAGACTTTTTTTTTTATGGTGGCATGAATCCGTTCATGAGTGAATGGATCCTGAACACCTTCCATTAGACCTCTGTCTCTCAATAGTGTTGCACTGGAGATGACGTTTCCAGCCCATGAATTTTTAAAGGGGACACATTGAAGCCATCACATCCCCTAAATTTGGAACTCTCACATGTATTCACTGAACCTGGACCCAAATAAGGTAGAATCATAGCATATAATCATTGAATCATAGAATCGTAGCAAGAGAATCATCGCGTTGGAGATACTTCTAGATGCTAATTGCAGACATCACTTTGGTCTGTGTTCCACAGGCCGGAAGTCAGTAATCATGCCCCTACCTAACTGCAAGGTGGCAAAGGAAAGTGGTCCATGTGTATATGCAAAGGCAAAATGCAGTTGAATTTGGTAAACCCATAGCAGTTTCTGCCATACAGGTAAAGCAGCATAGACTATTCAAGAAATCTGTCCGTAAAGTGGTAGAGGAAGAGAACATGAAATAAAAGCCAACATTTACCTTTCCATGTATTAATTGGCTTTCTTTTCAAAACCCACCATTAGTCTTAACAGACAAAGACTGCCGGCTAACTACTCCAGTAAGAATCATCATTTTAATAGATATCCCCTAAATATCTCTTTGGCTTTTATGCATAGATAAAAATGTTATAAATCATTCCAAGAGATTTAACCTATGGGTACGTTTTGTAACCAGTTTCTTTTTCTGGAGGGCTCATTATTAAGATATCTGTGTAGCTATGGTATATGCCTGGCATCTCAGCTCACGAAGTTCAAAACTGAATTCAATATTTCTATCCTCTACCCTTTCAGTTCTTTCACCCACCATTCCCAAACTTTTAAAAATATACAATGCCCTGGTTTACAGCCACTGCTAAGATGCCCAACACAGGAAATCTGGAAGACATTATCATTACCCAGTAATCTTTATTTGCTTATCCCTTAAATCTTGATTCTTTTTTCTCATAAATTTGTCTTTGATTTGCCCTTTCCTTTCTATTTTATAGCCAGCACCTTTGGTATCATCTGCTTGGGCTGTGAATACTGCTTCCAAACTGTTTTTCTTCGCTTCCATTCTTACCTATCCCCAGTCCATCCATCCTCCACGCTGCTCTCAGAATCATGTTCACATGTATCAACTTGATCCAAAGGCTCTGGGTCATGGGTAACCTCCCAGCTGGTTAGCATAATTTCTTAATTCCAGTTTCCTCTTTTCTTATGAGAGAGTTTAGAATTAGACTATGAGATAAAATATGTTCTCTCTTAATGTGATTGGCAATGGAGCTTTATAATTTCCACTCTGCCTGTCTCCCACCCCATCTTGTAAGCCTTTCTACGTGCAAATCTTATATATATATTTTAAGGTGGAGTCTCCCTCTGTCGCCAGGCTGGAGTGCAGTGGTGCAATCTCAACTCACCGCAACCTCTGTCCACCAGGTTTGAGCGATTCTCCTGCCTCAGCTTCCCAAGTAGCTGGGTTTACAGGCATGCGCCACCACACCTGGCTAATTTTGTATTTTTAGTAGAGATGGGGTTTCTCCATGTTAGTAAAGGCTGGTCTCAAACTCCCTATCTCAGGTGATCTGTCTTCTTCAGCCTCCCAAAATGCTGGGACTACAAGCATCAGTCACTGTGCCTGGCCCAAATACGATCTTTTTTTCTATTTCAAGTAGTTACTCAAATTCTCAGATCTTTCATGCCCTGATGACTTTGCACACCGTTTCCCAACTGCTTGAAATGCAGTTGTTCCCTTGTCTGTCTATATAGAATCCTATAGCTCAAGATTTTATCCTCTTTGAAGATGTCTCTGACCTCAGCTCCCTTGTACACATCTACAACACAGTTCTTAACATTTCATAATTTACTTCACCACTTCCCTTCACCTGCAGATACTTTAAACTGCAAGTAGCCAAAAAAAAAAAAAAAAAACCCTGATTCAACTGGTTTGCAATGATGTGAAGAATTAATTATTTTATATCACATAAGGAGACGCTCCTCAGTGGAGTGGTTCCAGAGTTGCTTATTGCAGCAGCTCCCTGATGGTGTCGTGACTCCGTTTCTTTCCAACTTTCTGCTGTGCCATCCTCAGCATGTTGTCTTAGTCCACTTCACATCCTTGTTCCAAGATTGACACAGTGGGTATCATATCCATACGTGCACGATACCATGCAGCAAAAGTAAAGGAAATGACTCTTCCTCAGTTAGAAAATTTCCCATAAACCCCAAAGTGAATTAACTGCTCTTATTTGCCAGAATTAGGTCCCTTATGATGAACCAATCACGTGACCAGATGGCAATCTGATGACTCAGCTTGCATGATTGGTTTAGCATATTCAGAATTTATCTCTAAACTGGTCATCTTCCTTTAAGGTTTTGGATATCTGAATAAAAGCAGATTCTTTTTGCAGATGTGAAGGGGAGAGTAGATTTGGTATAGACAAACCCTAAGTTTCTCTTCTGCACTGTGAGGACGAAATTAACCATCCGTCTCTAACATAGAACATAGTATACACAGTATACATTGCACATAGTATACACGAAGGGGGCTCGATTCATTCAATAAAAATAATCCCACCACATACGTGTGTATTGCCTATAGGTTAATTTACCTTGACTACTATCCTTTAAGTAGCAGATAATCAGAACAAGTCATATTACACAAGATGTACTTTTACTCTTTTAAAAAAATGGACTCTAGCTCTCTGGAATTGGGTGAAGTTGAGGTAAATGACTTAACAGAAAAATCTGATGTTCTGAAAGGTTTTTGAAACAGTATCAAGTGTTAAGCCTGTCTTGTTCATAGTGTGTGTTGTTTTGCACTGATTTAACTATGCTGTTTATTGAACCGATTGAAAACCAATGGCTACATCTATTTATTAGACAAAAAGTGTTTTCTGGGGAGACCTTGTTAAGCAACTACCTACCATCTTTTAAAATACAATTTTCTGCATTGAGATTCTCTATGAGCATTGGGAAATTACTAAACAGTGTCTGATGCTTTTTTTTTTCTGGCTTCTCTGTTCTCCAGTTTTATTTTGTTTTTCAGGACTGTGAAGATTCAGAGTTCTTTGTATGTTGTATTAGTTAATGGATGAGGCTTTTATTTTTAGCCTCCATCTTAATTTGGTATATTTTGTTCATCAAAAGGTTACTCCTTTTGATGAAAATGTTGAAAGGGGATTTTTCTTGCCTTTCTTCTAATTCAATTTTACATTTCATGTACAATTGATATTTGTAAGAGAAAGACAGTTACTTTCTTGTTTCTTGTCTAAAGAACTTCATATGTGTTGTTTTTATTTCAACAAAGCCAAGACTTAGATATTTCAATCAAAGACTTGTTACATTTAATAACTCAGCATTCTCGTACTTGTTTTATTTTTTGATCAGCGGAAAATGAACAGCTTGCACAAATAGTGACTTGTCTTCAGATGTGACAGTCTACCTGATACACTACCCACTCTTGACAGAATGTCAATTAATTGGTATATATTGCTTGGGTTTTGTTATCTGAAGCTGTTAAAGGGAAGAACCCTAATGTACATGTCACTTTCCTTTTTAAACTGGGCACTGTGCACGTATGTTTCGAGAGTGCTGTAAGTGTCATTAGTTTACCAAAATGGTGGAACTTCTGTTTTCTTCCAACTAAAATTTACAATTATTTTTAAAGAGGCTGCTGCTCAATAAACTGTTGACATAAATTCATTGATGATACTGAAAATCACACAAGACAGTCTAGATCATCAATTACTAGATATTGTAGGAATAGCGGCATAAGTAGACGAGTAGACTTCAGTGAACAGAGGCAAGAAAGTGCCTAGGAAGGATATTGAGGAAAGAGAGTTTTATATAGTCATTTATTCTTTAATTCACATATCTACTCTCTAAATTTCTGTTGACTGCCTATTATGCACATAATATATAGCTCTTGTGGAGGGGATAGAAAATATAAGCAAGTTATAATAAACATAGGTTAAGCAATGTGGTATTTGTTTTGTTTTGTTTTGTTGAGACCGAGTTTCCCTCTTGTTACCCAGGCTGGAGTGCAATGGCACGATCTCGGTTCACCGCAACCTCCGCCTCCTGGGTTTAGGCAATTCTCCTGCCTTGGCCTCCTGAAATAGCTAGAAGGCGGGTGGATCATGAGGTTAGGAGATTAAGACCATCTCAATCTCTTAACCTCGTGATCCACCCGCCTCGGCCTCCCAAAGTGCTGGGATAGCAATGTGGTTTTTTCAAAAGCCTTCTAGCTATTTCAGGCAGCTACCACAGACACTAGAGTCAATTTTTCAAGCCTTTTGTCTCAATAAATTCATTTTACACATTTCATGTAGTGATTTTCAAGTCTTCCTTGATTGGATTATAAACCTGAATTCAATTTATTTATTAACAATTATTTATTTTTGGACATAATTGTGTCAAGTGTCTGCAGACTCCCTTCCAGGATCAAGAAATTTGAGGCAGTAAATTGGTGATGAGGTGGTGACTTGGGTAATCTTCGGGAAAATTTTGCTATCCTTTCTCTGCGAAAAAGAAAAGAATACTAAGGTTTAAGGTTAAAGAGTAGACCCCAGTGTGGCTCTGACTGAAAGAGTGTCACTAAGAATTCTAATCATCTACCTTTTCTGCTTTGACTACTCTTTGTTGTATGACAAGATTGTCTTATGGTGGATAAGTATAGTTAACACTAGACACTATGGTAGTCATTTCAAATATTACTTCATTAATTGACAACAGTTCTTTAGTCTCCATTTCTCAGATGAAAAATATTAATTGAGAGGCATGGC